AAAGAAAAGTAAGTCACCACTGGTCCTGCTTTTGCCTCCTGAAATGCCCATGTGTTGCCGGAAAGCAGCATCTGTCTAAACCCCCCTGCTTTTGACGACTATGACTTCTTTGATAAACTGCCCGTGTGTGTGTGGAGGGACAGAAAGATGGAGGAAGCAAATGGGGAAATGAGTTTTCCCCTCTCCAGATTAATGTATATGAAGTATACATCTGACACTTCATCAGCACTCCCGGCTGGTGTCCCAGCAGGCGGACACTGGCTGAGCATGTATTCTGCCAGCAACCAGGCTACTTAGGATGAATTGGCAACATGTCATTTATCTGAAATGCCCCAAATGTCTGGGAGAGGGAGCACAGCTACATTTAGCATCGCCAAGGAAAACTAGATACTTTGGGCTAGGAATTAATCTCCTTTTTGAGAAGGTAGTTAGCATTACCTTCAAGCTTGCCTGTGGCATTTAAATCACTATAGGTCATGCATTTACTAAAATTCATACCGACCAAACCATGGGGCCTTCATTTATATCTTACTAACATATGAATACCTGCCAGCCACGGGGCCTTCGTTTATATCTTATTAACATACGAATCCCTCTCAGGTCTCTACTTTTCTGAAATGTATGTTGTGCTGAACATGAAATTCTGTTTTATATCAACTTGTAATGCCGTTATTTGGACATAAACCGCTTTGATCCCTATTTTTCCCATTTTTACACACTTGAACACACACTTTGCTTTGACTCACTTTTTCAGTGAATCAACAAAATATTTAAGCCAATCTGCTACATGACTGCTTACAGGCAGATTAATAAAATCTCCTTGAATGTGGACACTGTAATCTCTTCATAATTTTTTCAGCCTAGTTTTTGAACGGCTGATGTAGAACTAAATGGGATTTGGCCCATTACATGGACTTTAAGGCTAATCACAATTGTAAGATGCCGTGAACAACAAAACCAAAGAGGTTTTAGATGGATGATCTTATTAGGCCACCCATTACAGCAGAGAGAATCACACCATCACTCTCGCCTTGCAAGTAAAGGAATCTGTCATTTCCTAGGAATAATTATTCGTTCCATCGGCATTATTTATTGAATGCCTCCTATACGCAAGGCTTTGTGCTAGGAGCAGTGAGGAGCAGAAAGCCAACCAGACGGGAATTCTGCCCGGAAGGAGCTTGCAGTCTAGCAGGGGGATATCAGGCATAAACACAAAGAATTAAAACAAAGGTGCACCATGATACACGCCAAGGAGAGTCAGGAGGAGAAGGCTGGCTTACAGCTCTAAGATGGGGGGCTGGGGGTGAGAGCCGTGGCCAGGAGAGGGTCCAAGAGAATCATGTTCTATTGGACAGAGCACCTCCAAAAACATCAGCTTGTCTAGAAAATAAAGAAAGAAACAAGGAGGAGGAAGAAGAGAGAAAAGGCCAGTCAGAGAAAGACAAGTATCATATGATTTCACTTATAGGTGGAATCTAATGAACAAAATAAACTAACAAACAAAACAGAAACAGACTCAAAGATATCAGAGGACTGACAGCTGTCATAGGTGAGTGGGTTGGGGGCCGGATGAAAAAGGTGAAGGGATTCAGCAAAGAAAAAACAAAACTCATAGACACAGACATCAGTAGAGTGATTAGCAGAGGGAAAGGGGATAAGGGGATAGAAGAGGGTAAAGGGGAGATAAGTAGTCATGGAAGGAGACTTGACTTGGGCTGGTGAACACATAATACAATATACAGATGATCTATTACAGAATTCTATACCTGAAACCTATATAATTTTATTAAACAACTAAAAGCCCAATGGACGAAATTCGTGCAAGGGTAGGCCCTCGCAGCCCCAGCTACTTCGGCCCTCGCAGCCCCGGCTTCATCCGGAAGGTCATCCGGAAGGTCATTCTGCTGTTCAGTCTAATTAGCATATTAGCTCTTTATTATATAGGATGTTACTCCCCCCCGCCCCCCCAAAAAAGAAAAAGAAAGTAAATTCTAATAGGTGTATATTTCCACCTCTCAGCATCATTATCAAATCTGTTAGTTGTAATCAGCAGAGGCACTTTAAACATAATCCAATCCAAAAACATTAACCCTTTGAGTGCCAACCAATATCCTAGGAACTATGCTAAAATTGCCAAGGCATTTTTGCTGATTTTACAGCAGTTTAGGAAAAAAATTATGAATCGCAAGTAAGTGAAGTTACATATTCAAAAACTTAAGGAAACCTTTACTACATTTGTTTTCATCTTTGACATATATTGTTTGCTGATTGTATTATAAAATACTAGTAGAAAAAAATTTGAACAAAACATATAATGTTAAAATAGAGGGACACCCTTCTCCAATATCTTCCACAAAATCGTCATCTTCACAGCAAGAATTGACATATTTAGCAATATCATCATCACTAATAAAAGCAGACTTATAACTGGACGCCATTTCGAAGCTCTAGGGCTACAAAATCTGAGTAAACTTCATAAAATCGTAGTACCTGTAAAAAATTAGGCAGATAAATGCCAGTGGTCAATTTTAGAACTACAAACATCCGGCATCATAAGTAATCTGCACTTAGGTGCCATCTGTCAATAAAGAGTGAACTACTAGCATCTAATAGTGACACTGCAGGAGGAGCGCGATAGCGCTCCCGGCACTTTTGGCGAAAGACAAGAGGAGCTCGATCGTGCTCCCTGGCACTCTAGGGGTTAACTAATAACACTTCTGCAAAGGGTACATACTGTGACACACTGATATAAATGATATGGCATAGAAACCTAGACCAATTCAAGCAGAATAACGAGGGAATCAGGAGGGTCTCAGCCCGGCAGCCCTCCTCCAGCTGCTGCTGCTCTCAGGTTGGGGGACAGAGACTTGGTCAAACAGCTCACAAATAGTTTTCCTTAAACTACAACTCAGAAATCATGAAACTTCTGAATGAGATATACTGTATATACCAGTATATATCTTACTTTTAACAGTGTTGCTTTAATCAGAATAATTTTCTTGGCAATAAACATACAAGATTAATATTTAAGTGTTAAGAATAATATTGCATTGACCCCAAAAAACACTTTTTAAAAAAAAATCACTAATTGTGAGAAATGTTCCTTAAAAAGTAAATACTTACAGTAAAATAAGCTTTTGGTAAAATTCCCCAAGAAAAAAAAGTAACTTTGAACTTGGGGATGAGATGGAGGAAAATGTGATCATCATTTTAAGTGCACATTTAAAATAAGTCCCAAATTTTTCATAAAAGGAAGACAATGAACTTTGGCTTAAAGATCATAGTCAATTTTGAAATCATAATATATCCTGAAAGAAACTTTTTATGGATAATTATTCAATACCATTCAGAATCTTTATTATTTGAAAAGTAGATTCGGGAATTCCAAAGTTGAATTCCAGAGACTGTTTATGCCTCTTTTCATCTTGTAGTTGCAGATGAGATGATAAAGTCTGAGAAACTAAGTGACTTGCTCAAGTGTACACACTATCTAATGGCAAAATCAGGACCTAACTCACATCTCTCTGCATTATTGAATGATTCCCATATATCCAAAATAACCTATTATCAATACATCAAATTAAAAGGCATCATAATGCACTGACTTACATATTATTTGCATCATCATCAGTAAAATATGTTTAAAAATCTATTCCCATACCATACAACCCCTACCACCAATGCAAAAATAACTTGTAAACACTCCTAGGCCAAAGGTTAAAGTAGAAAAGTAATGAGCCCACTAGAACACAAAATTCTAGGAAGGATCATGGTTAAAAATAAAGGCGTACATTGAAAAAAATACAAGGAATGTGGGAGTCCATGCTACCAAAAAATACGCAAATATTTGTATCATGTGCCAACTGGTAAATGTGGAGAAAGTGCTAGAGTTGGAATAATGACCATTTTCAATTATCACAGAAAAGAAGGGGCCTGGCAAGAACCACCATGTTCTGGAAATCTAGGGGGAATTGTTGATGAGGAGAAACATGTTTGCATGGCCTGAAAGTATCTCCCCACAGAATGCTTATTGAATACAAGAGCAAAAGTCTAACTACAGTGGAGACATCTGGCAACACCTTGACTAGGGGGAAAAATTAACTACACAATGAGGGACAGATAGACATATGTGTCTGCAGATGGCAGACCCAATGTGATATTCTAGATTGGGATGCAAAAACATAAATCTCACCATGAGGAAATATCAAACGTATAAGCAACATGTAATATGCGAAATATTCCATTAAAACACATGGGTGGGAGTATAGTCCTCAAAGATCTTGATGTCAAAGTGGTAAATAAAGGCTCTGGAAATAATTCCAGATTAAAGGGAACTAAATAGATATGACAATTAAATTCAATGCATGACTCTGGACTGGATCCTGTTCTGGGGGAGGGAAAATGTTATAGAGGACATTATTGAGCCAATTGATAAAACTGAAATGCAGATGGCAGAGTAGATAAAGGGCATTTATCAGCCATAAATTTACTGAAGTTGATAACTGTGATAACAAAAGGCTATAGTATATACAAGCTACTCCCAAACAGTTTAAAAAAGTATGTGTGCATGTACACATATATGTATATGCCTGTGTCTATATAGAGGGAGAGAAAGCAAATGATAAAGCAAGTTGGGCAAGAGGTTAATAGTTGAATCTAGTAAAGGATCAGTTGGTGTTCTATTATTTTTCTTACTCTTGCCACTTCTCTGTTACTTTGAAATTGTTTTAAAGCTTAGAAACATCTTCCTTTCTTTTGAGGGAAGAGTGGAGACAGAGAAAAATTGAAAGAAATACTCCAAATTAGGTTGTGGGGTTGGGGGTTGGCGCTTGGAAAAATGAGCACACTGAAAGCAAGGTATTTCACATTGCCAAATCTGTGCTTAATGTTAAATGAGGTTCAAATCTAGTTAAAGTCAATAAACTTAAAATAGTCCCTAGTGAGGTGGCAAGACGGATAAAACCCAACCCACCACAGACAGAGCCCAGAGACACACTTACCAGACTGGCCGTGAGCGAGGGCGCCGACTGGCCCAAGGCCTGGCTGCGCATGCGCACGAGGTTGGACGTCTCCGCAGATGCTGACCAGGTCTGTCCTGCGGTGGGGTTAGGAAGGAGGTACCTTCCTGTCGGGGTTAAAGAGAAGACAATGTAAGTGACAGGCAGAACAGTAACACCTCCATGGCAACGGTAGATCTCTTCTTGACCATCCTTCTATATAACGTTTGCCAATAATTACATTTACCAAAAGCAACCGGAGGCAAATTGTTTTAATTAAGACAAGTTCTGACTCTGATTTCCCACATAAACCCAAGAGTACCTCTTCATCCCCAGCATCTGTAGCTTTCAGCCAAGGCAGAATGAAGTATCTTGTTACTGCTGCCTATTCCACCAAATGTGCTGAGGATGAATATAATACACAAAGCATTCCTAGCATCTTAGAAATAAACTTACGCAGTTATAACTGTACTTTTAAAATGTCTAATATGGAAAGTGATTGAGGATTCATCTGGAAAAGAGTCCTCAAAGTGGAGATCATGACCACCAAAAGGAAGAGTTGAAATTCTTTCAAAGTGAAATGGGGCTGGTGCTTCCCTCTCTGAAGCACTGGTTGGTCACTCAACCATGTCCACAGGACACATAATTGTATCCATTTGCATAAATCAGGACATCAATGTCAGTTGAGCTTCACTGAGCAACTCACATCAACCTTGAACTCTAATATATATGTATGCCTTTGAAAGTCAAACAGTTGAACCAATTCACACTGTATTAATTTCTTAGTACAGGGACAGGACCAGTTATCAATGCATAAGAAATAAGGCTTTTTGACTTCAGGAAGTTGGGATGAAGTTATGAGTATTCACATAGTAATGAAGCTCAGTAAAAGTAGAGGCCATGTTTGATTTTTATCTGCTTTGTCCCAATACTAGCACAATGACTGGCCGTAGTCGGTGCTCATTAAATATTTCTTGAATGATGAAAGAACAAGTGGGCACTTCTTTCCCATAAAACACATAGAGACAATAAGATGGCAGGCAGTCTGTGGTGTCTCATCCAAGGGCTGTGTCTGTGGGGACTCCAGCTTCATACCACTCAGAATCAGGAGGGACTGCAGCCACATGTGTAGCTGGTGGTCCTGGAGCAGAGGTGACATTTGTTCCTTGGATTCTCCCCCAACAGATCTGTTCCTTGTAAAAGAGGCTCACTCCCTTACCTGTGGCATACAATTCACAAGCATGTCCCACTGGTTAATAAATACTGCAATATATTAGCTAGTTAGCTATTAGTATCCATTCTAACTACTAGCAATATCAAAGTATAGGAGCTAGGGGCAGCTCCCACAATTGTCCATGTAGAGGTCTAATCTATATATATAAAAGCCTAAGCGACTGTCGCAACCGAAACAACCAAACAGACGACCAAACAGGCTGCATGGGGCGACCAGGCCAGCAGGGGGCTTAGTGAGGGACGACCAAACGACTGAGCAGCAGGCTGCAAAGATGGCGGCGCCCACAGCCAATAAGGAGGGAATATGCTAATTGACTGCCATGCCCTCAAAGATGGTGGTGCCCACAGCCAATAAGGAGGGGATATACTAATTGACTGCCACACCCTCAAAGATGGCGGTGCCCACAGCCACAAGATGGTGGTGCCAGTCCCTCAGCCCCCAGCCACCCAGGGCTTGCCCAAGGCACAGGCAAGCCTCGGATGGCAGCTGCCCAGCTGCCCAGCTTCCCAAGGCTCAGGTAACCAGGGCCGGCAGAGGCTTGTGCTGCTGGCAGTGGCAGCAACAGAGGTGTGATAGGGCGTCGCCTTCCCCTGATTGCCGGAAACAGCCACAAGATGGTGGTGCCAGTCCCTCAGCCCCCAGCCACCCAGGGCTTGCCCGAGGCACAGGCAAGCCTCGGATGGCAGCTGCCCAGCTGCCCAGCTTCCCAAGGCTCAGGTAACCAGGGCCGGCAGAGGCTTGTGCTGCTGGCAGTGGCAGCAACAGAGGTGTGATGGGGCGTCACCTTCCCCTGATTGCCGGATCATCTCCCGCCCCTGAGGGCTCCGGGACTGTGAGAGGAGGCAGGCTGGGCTGAGGGACCTCCCACCTCCAGTGCATGAATTTTCATGCATCAGGCCTCTAGTGTGTGTGTGTGTGTGTGTGTGTGTATGAAAGCCTAAGCGACCATTACAACCAGAAGATCGGACAATCAGATGACCAGCCAGTAGCTATGACGCACAGTGACCACCAGGGGACAGACACTCAATGCAGGAGCTGGCACCCTGTGGTCAGTGCGCTCCCACAGCCAACCTCCTGCATCTGGCTGTGGTCCCTTCCCCCCAGCCGGCCAGGCCCAATCGGCCCTGATCAGCCCAGATTAGGACTGGGAGAGACAACCCTGATCAGCCCCGATTGCTGGCTAGGCCGAGGGACCCCACCCATGCACAAATTCTTGCACCGGGCTTCTAGTGTTTTAATAAAAGTGCTTCTAGAAATTTATATTTTCCTTGCAAAGGGAAAAATGGTTTCCTATTTTGCCAAAATTGCTCTTTCACTTTCTTATACAGTGAAAGCACAGACTCTAGAGACAACCAGATCTGCTTTTGAGATCTTAACCTGTAACAGAATGACATTGGGGAAGGAAGTTAGTCAACCTCTCCTGGCCTTCATTTTTCCATCTCTAAAATGGGGATAGATTATAGGATTGACTATGTAAAGTTATTGAGAGGTTTATAAGATTTTATAAGTAAAGCACTCAGTAAATGTTAGCTATTTAGCCATAACAATAGTAAAAAACTATCTTTTTTGTTTGCTTTTAATTTCTTGTCACTTGTCTAAAGAAAAAAAATAACAATTACACCAGCAAAAACCACAATCAACATTTCAGTGATTTTTCTTCCGATTTTCTAACTGCAACCTGTATTTTCTAGCAAAAAAACAACAACAACATAGACTTTTGTCACATGCTCCCCTCCACATCACATAATATATATTTGCCAAGCAAAAAACATAAAGCAAATCAATTGAAGCATAAACCCTATCATTAAAAATTCAACAATAATTACAATTTGTGATTCTGGTCATCATCTCAAAAACAGTCAGATATATGTTGTGTAGGATATGTTACATTTAAAGTCTAGAATTTTTTTTTCCTTGCCTTATTTTGAAACATGAACTAAAAGCTAGACTAACAGGGGCTTTGGGAAATCTGCCCCCTTTAGACCTAAAAGCAGGACATTAATAAAGAACAGGAAAATTATAGACTGCATTTAGGAATGTTAACCATTATTACATACATAAATGGTTTCTTTAACACAGAATTAACTCTCACTGTTTGAAAAGCATCACATGTTAAAAATATACCAACCTCCAGTAATCAGAACCCATACGTTTTTGTTTTTTTTTCCTTCTGGTCCTTCCTGTGTCTTTTCCTGTATTCTATGCTTTATATTTTCTTTGTACACGTTTCAGAGAGAGGCCTGATGGGAGGTATAGAAGCTACCTAAAATCAAAGCTTATATGATGGAGGGAGTCTAGCCTCATCACTGTTCTGGCTCAGATGCTTCATTTTAAAACCAAGCAAGGTAGATACAAGAACACTTGAAGAATGTAACATCATCATACAAAGTGTAAAGGCTAAATATTGTTAAGTCACTAAAAAATTCTATAATTCAGTCCTTTTCTCTTTTACTAGAAAATAATTATTAGACTATCTCCCTATAATCCCCAAGATGAAGAAATAGGTATTCATTTCTGTATTCCTAGTACCTGGCATAGTCCCTGGCACAGTGCCTGGCATACAGTAAGTGCTCAATAAACATTTGTTGACTGAAGTGCACTTAAACGGGAAACATAAAACTAACCAGGTTATCTTCTTAAATTTAATCTGTAGTATAGCATAACAGTTAAAATACACTGAGACATTACTATATGCCAGACACTGCCACATCTTAGCAAACCTATGGGGTACCAGGTAATAATATCTCCACTTTAGCACAGAGAGGTCACATAATTAGACCAGGGCACACAGCTGATAAGTGAGCAAAACCTGGATTCTTACTTTGAAGCCCAAATCCTATCGCAGGAAAATATTCATCACATATGCTAAGGTGAAAAACAAGGTATAAGAGAGGATGATTTTATATTTAAAAGAAAATAACATGCAGATGGGATTAAATGAGATAATGCACTTAAGGCACTCAGCCTGGGACATGGAAGGCAGACAATATACTATTACTACTCACATGCTCATAAGAGCTTTACAACTCCACCAATACACCCTCACCACCACAGCAACAAAATAAACCATGGCAATGGACTCCTTGGCCAGATCACAAAAGAACTGGAGAAAACTATTGAACAATATTGCAATAAAGAACAGTATTTCTTGCAAAACTGTTGTTCTCTCTGGCAGGGAAAATGGGGACTGGATCCAGGGAGAAGTATGCTATAATATTTCATTGTTTTAAAAATTATCTGCAGGGAATAAGAATTAAGTTTTCACTTGTGGTTTTAATAAATTTAATATTAAGTTTTTCTAATGTAGCTGAAGAATGTGGCAAATATTAAGCTTTGAAAGAGCTGGCTGGCAAGTATATGCAGTTGTATTAAATTATTCTCTACTAATTTCTTTATATGACATTATAAAGGGTGTCCCAAAAAATGTATACATACTTTGAACAGTTATTAATTCCAATGGGTTAAATCTGAAAAGAAAGAAATATCAATTGAGCTATCAAGGAAAAGTGTGTATACATTTTTGGGGATACCCTGTATAATACTGCTTTTAATGATTCCTATAAAAAAATGCTCCAAAATCTAACATGGCAAACAAGCCAAGAGCATATTCCTCACACCCCTCATAATGGCAGTTCCTGAGGCCACATAAGGGAGGGGCGTGGGTGATGGTCGTGGAGAGCCACAGGGTCTGGGTGGGGTGAGGAAGCAAGAAGCAGGGGAGAAGTTCCAAGGAGAACGAGGACCCTCATTATGGTCCCAACCTGAAAGTCATGGCAGCTATGACTGGGTAAGGCTCCTTCTCTGCCAGTGGGAAAGCAGGACAGAAGCAGGCACAGTTTCTGAATATATCCTCAGAGCAAGAAATTCATCTGCTAGGATCCAAGCTCAATGAGC